TTAGTAAATTAACCAAGACTCTTAATTGCTCTATTACATTTTTCCCTTCATTTTGTGTTTTTTAGGATCTCCAGACGGGGAAGAAGATTGGTGGGGGGCATGAGGCTGGTGGATTGTATTACCTTGACAGTGGTGGATCATCAGTTGCACTTCAAACTTCACTCACTCCTCTACAGTGGCATTGTCGACTGGGACATTCATCTCTCAAGGCACTCAAGATACTGGTTCCATCTTCAAGTCATTTGTTGTCTTTATAGTGTGAGTCGTGTCAATATGGGAAACATCGTCGGGTTCCCTTCAATCCTAGAGTTGATAGTCGTATGTTGAGTCCTTTTGCTTTGGTTCATTCAGATGTTTGGGGTCCGATTAAAATAGTCTTATAATGGTTACAAGTATTTTGTCACTTTTATTGATGATTGTTCAAGGATGACATGGATTTATTTAGTGAAAGGAAGGAGTGAATACTTTCTTACTTCCTTTCAACAGTATTTAGAACAACATGGCATCATTCATAAAACTTCATGTGCATCCACTCCTCAACAAAATGGGGTGGCTGAACGAAAGAACCGTCATCTCCTTGAAACTGCTCGGTCTATTTTTCATCATATGAGTGTTCCTAAACGATTTTGGAGTGATGGTGTACTTACTGCGTGTTTCCTTATTAATCGGGTGCTCTCCTTCATTCTTCATGGTCGGTCTCCCTTTTCTATTTTGTTCCCCACCTCGTCTCCCTTTCCATTAACACCCCGCATCTTTGGTTGTGTGTGCTTTGTTCACAATCTGAGTCCTGGGATAGACAAGTTGGATGCATGCTCTATTAAGTGTGTCTTTCTTGGCTACTCTCAGACTCAAAAAGGGTATAAGTGTTACAATCCCATTACTTGGAAGTGATATGTCTGTCCTGATGTCACCTTTTTGAGTCTGTCCCCTTCTTCTCGGGACCTGAAGCATCGGTGTCTCCACCTTTGCTTCCTCTTCCTCTTCCAGTCCGTGATCCCGTTTCGGTTGTTCCAGTTGGGGTTGACCCTTCACCTCCTCCAGTGCAGATCCCTATTGAATGACCACCGGTCCGGCACGTGTATACTCATTGACAGACACCGGCTCCTCCTCCAGCTTCTACCTTGTCTGTGGATCCTGTTGTTGCTCCTGTCCCAAAACCTTCAGGACTTAATCTTCCCATTGCTTTACGGAAAGGTAAACGTAGTTGTACCCTCCATCCCATTTCCAATTTTGTTTCAGTCTCTCACCTTTCTACTTCACATCGCCAGTTTGTTTCACTGTTGTCATCTATTTCTATACCTAAGAATATCCAAGAGGCTCTTAGCTCACCTGGGTGGCGGCAGGCAATGGAGGAGGAACTCTCTGCCCTTCAGCATACTCAAACGTGGGAGCTCTCTACTCTTCCTCCCGATAAGCATGTTGTGGGTTTTAAATGGGTGTATATTGTTAAATACTTGCCAGATGGTACTGTGGAGTGTCTGGAGGCCAAACTTGTTGCTAAAGGTTATTCACAGTTGGCTCTGTCCGTGTCTTAATTTCCCTGGCAGTTATGTATGATTGACCCTTGTTTCAACTTGACATTAAAAATGCCTTTCTTCATGGTGACCTTATGGAGGAGGTATATATGGAGCAACCACTTGGGTTTGTTGCTCAGGGGGAGGATGGTAAGGTGTGCAGATTGAAAAAAGGCAATTTATGGGTTGAAACAATCGCCTCGTGCTTGGTTTGGGAAGTTTAGTGAAATGGTGAAGAATTTTGGAATGAAACAATGTCAGGTTGACCACTCGGTGTTTAGCTATGATTTAGAAGCCGAAAAGATTTTATTAGTGGTCTATGTGGATGATATTGTCATAACTGGTAGTGACAAATTGGGGATCGATAAACTAAAGGTCTTTCTGCAAAACCATTTTCAAATAAAAGACCTTGGGACATTGGAGTATTTCTTGGGTATAGAAGTTGTTAGATCAAAACAAGGTGTAAACCTGTTCCAAAGAAAATATGTTCTTGATCTGCTGGATGAAACAAGACTGTTAGGTGCAAAAACGGTTGAAACTCCCATGGAGCCAAATGCTAAGTTGAGCAGTGATACAGGGGAAATATTTGATGATCCTGGAAGGTATAGACA